CTCAATCATCTGAGGATGCAGACGCTGGCAACAGTGTCAGTAATCCTCCTTCCCCACCAACAGATGTTGCTGAATGGACCACAATCTTTCCTTCACATCTAATACTACTGACTGACTATGTTCAGTTTACCTATGGAATATCAGAAGTCTGGTTAACAAACTAAAACCTTTTCAGTCCTTTGTTTTTTCATCAAAGTATCAAATCTTTGCAGTAATGAAACTTGGCTTCACTCTTCTATTATTGATAACAAAATTCTTAGTACTGATTTTACTCTGTATTGTAAAGACAGGAAGTCTCAGGGTGGTGGTGTATTGTTGGCAATCCATGACTGCATCTCATCTCTTCAGCTGCCCAGTCCTGAATTTTTGGAACTTATGACTGTGTTAGTTCAAGTTCCTCATCCTGTCGTACTGTGTCTTGTACATGTATATCTTCCCCCTCAAGCATCTCTCATTGATTTTCTGTCCGACCTTATCTCCACCCACAACGTCATCCTGCTGGGTGACTTTAACTTTCCCGATATAGATTGGTCCTCCCTGTCTAGCCCCAGTGGCCCTTCATACCTTTTCACTGAGTTTGCTTTTCGTGCCAATCTCTCTCAACATATAACTACCCCAACCCATTTAAGAGGTAACATTTTGGACCTATTATTCTCTCAGTCGCCAGACTTAGTTATCGATGTTCATGTGCATAATTCTCAGCCTCTCTCAAATTTTTCATCTGATCATTTTCCCATCTCTTTTTCCATCCCTCATTCTACTCTCAAATTTACCCCTAACCATCCTCCCCCATTTTATCTGGATTTTGCAAAATGTAACTATGATGCAATGGTGGATCATTTATTGGACATCGATTTCAGTGTTTATTTCTCTTCACAAAATATTGAATACTTGTGGTCATTCTTAAAGAATGTACTAAACGATTCTATAGCTACATTTGTCCCCAAGGTCAGGCGCTCCTCTCAGAGGTTTTCAAAGTGGTTTACGGGGCAAATTAGACATCATTTAAACCAACTACATTCCCTAAGGAGAAAGTCACGTTTTGCTAAAGACCACTCTGCTAAATTGTCCTCTATAGAGGCTACGCTACAGGAGGAGATATCAATAGCCAGGTCCAATTACGAAGCTGCATTGGTTGATAAATTTGCTTTCTCTAATGATAGTACCATATATAGCTACATTAGAAATCTCCTTCGTTCCAATTCCTTACCCTATTTTGTCTCCTTTGGTGACAAGTCCGAGTGCTCAGATGAGGGTAAAGCACATCTATTCAACTCCTTTTCCACTCAGTATTCCTACCTGATGATGCATCTGTTCCCTTCTCACTTCAAACCCCTGCTCAGACTCTGGACTCTATTGAAATCTCCATCCAAGACGTTTTCTCTGCTCTCGTCTCTCTCAACCCATCCAAAGCTACAGGTATAGATGGTATTCCCGCTCGCCTTCTAAAATCCTTTGCCACGCCTCTTTGTGAGCCCATACACCATCTTTTGGTTCAGTGTTTTGCTCAGTCATACCTTTCATTAGAATGGAAGACCCACCTAATAACCCCTATTCATAAATCTGGTGATAAGAGCTCTGTAACTAATTACAGGCCCATCTCTCTCCTATGTTGTATTTCCAATGTTTTGGAGAAAATTATTTTTGACAAGATAGCTGATTTTATCCAGCCTCATTTTGTTTCTCTACGTCAATTTGGTTTTCTTAAAAAATCAATCTACTCTGCAACAATTGATGGCCTATCTGTCAACAATATTTGATTCATTCTCTAACAAATGCCAGACAGACGTAATTTTTCTCAATATTCAAAAGGCTTTCAATACTCCTTCTCACTCAATCTTACTGGAAAGGGTCTAGAAGGCAGGTATCACTGGTCTCACCTGGGAGTTCCTTAGAGCGTACCTCTCCTCTCATCTTCAATGTGTTTCAATACACAACAGTAAGTCTGGCTTACTACCTGTAGTGTCTAGAGTCCTGCAGGGGAGTCTGTTAGGACCACTCCTTTTTATTATATACATAAATGACTTGCCCTTAATGGCAGCTAATGCAGCAAGATAGTGGAATCTTTTGATGATTGTGACTCATTGCAAAAAGATTTAAATAGTACCTATCAATAAAGTGTAAATTCCAGACTTTCCTTCAGTCTAGAGAAATCTTCACTAATCACATTTTGCTCAGTGCGTCACTCTCCTCTGTTCTCCTCCTACTACATCAATGGCCAGACCATTCCCCAGAAATCCATCATTAGAGACCTAGGTGTTATATTTGAATCGGATCTCTCCTGGTCAAAACATATGAATAATATTGCTGCTAAGAGCTACCAGACTATTGGTCTATTACGTAGAGCTTTTCCTGTCTCCACCCCTATTAAGACTAAGAAACTATTATTTCTTAGCCTTGTTATTCTCAAGCTTACTTATTGCTCTCCAATCTGGAGGCCTAATCTAGTCAAAGACATAACTATCCTTGAGAGAGTCCAGAAGAGAGCAACAAAGTATACACTAAATGACTATTCATCCGACTATAAATCCAGGCTTATTTCATTACAAATTCTACCTCTGATGTACTAGCTAAAAATAAACAACATAATGTTCTTCATTTCATCTCTCAAGAATCCATCCCCTCATTTTAATATACTAGATTACTTCTCTTTTTGCTCTCACTCTATTACTACTTGCTCTACTTCCAAAGCTATGCTACATCACTCTCTGTCTCGCTCCTCTGTCCTTCAACATTCATTTCTTCACCGTCTACCATGCCTGTGGAACCCTCTCCCAGAAATCAGCCTAAACCAATCTATTACATCAATCAAAAAATCAGTAACTAGCCATATGATTAATCATTTTATAAATAATTTTGATTCTAACAATGTATGCACTTATCACTTTATCTGTCCTTGCTATAAATGTTCTCTCATTCCTACCTGTCCTTCTCTCTCTCATTAATTATTTTTCTCAGGGTGTAGTTTCAAGTAAACCGTATCCCTTCAGATTCTTCTTCTGTTTCCTTTATCTTCTCTGTCCTTCTCACTTCCCATTGTCTCTGTCTGTAAAATTTATAATAATAGTAATCTAACACTCTCGAACGCGCACACGTACACAACACATGCATGAAAGCCACACCCCTCACAGAAATTTACACAACAAAATTTAACTTTGAAGGCCTTTCACAAAGAAAACATGAAATTTTTCCCAATTTTTATTATAATATTCCTTTCATAATTATTAATAATAAATAATTCTTAGGAAAATTCACTGTTCCATCTGTCAGTGGACAATGTTGCCTTCCAACTAATAGTTTTACAATTCAAAAAATAAATCAAAATAAGGGAATTATGTTTGGAGGAGTTATAACTCCTGATCATTCTGGGACTCTTGGAACTACTACTAGTAGTATGTACATATTTAATGTGACACATAATACAATAGTAAGTTACCAGTATCATGCAGCACAAATTTTTTGAGGGCTGTAAATTTTGTCAATTGGTCATGTGAATTTAATTTTAGTAAATTACACTCTCTGCCATCTTGTGTCATAATAAATACTGATTTAATGTTTTCAAAAATTTTCTAAGATTTGCGAAATCCACAAAATTTACAGTCCTCAAAAAATTTACACTGTTACTGTATCTTTTATGTACATGTACATTATTTTATTACCATCTTTCAGGAAATTTATATCATAACTTCAATTTTACTGGATTAGAAATTTTCAAAAATTAGATGTCACATAATTGCATGCCACATTCGATAGTACATGGCACACTCTTAATACCTAAAAATTAAATCACAGCACAAATTTGAAAGACAAAAAATGTTCTACCTCATAAATTTCCTGATTTACAGTATCACATAACATTTATAATGTACCATATAGCTGGAAAGTTCTGTGGCCAAAGACTTTTGTAGTTTTCATGGTTTGGAATGATACCATGCAATTAAAAAACCACGAAATATTTGCTGGTTAATGAGAGGCATGAAAACTTCACTGATGATCCACGAAAATAAAAACGACAAATAGACTGGGAGCCTCCAAACTACATAAGTTTTTGCCACGAAATTTTCTAGCTATTATGGTATTTTATTATTTATTGGCTTTTACCTGTATTTTTAGCTACGTGTACATGTTTAAATAAGTATACTTTATTTACGTGTGTGATATATTTAGTTAAAATGCCAATTTAATCTTGTTTAATGTTAAAACCCTTTTTTACATTTATAGCATTGGGAGGGTATTAAAAAAGGATCTGTAGCTGGTGAGAAACTCTGGCCTATGCCAAGATATTGTCAAGCTAGTGCTATTTTTAGTGGTGACTCTACTTCACCAGCATTAGTAGTGATTGGTGGACGGCATGACTATCTTCCACTGAATGATTCTTGGTTATTTGATAACGTCAACACTAGTCAATTCAGTTGTAAGAAGGTACTTATTGCTGATATACATTAGTAATTTATTTACATATTGTTATTCATTGTTTTAGTTTGCTAGAGCTACATATACGTGTATACTACACAGTAAAATCATATACTCTTAATATTATGTACATTTTCAAAAATCAGTAAAAACTTTTAATTGGTAGTTATGCTCTATTGGATATGCATACAGCAAGCCCGTAGTTTAGGTTAAGAGTATTATTTGTTGAATATAACAGCCTGAGGCAAACTAAGGGGTACTATTCAAATGTGCAGATTGAATAACAGTTGAAACTAGGGCCAAGATATGCCACTACCTGTGATGCTTTATTCCTAGTGGGTATAAAGATAACCACTTTAAAATTTGTACATCAGATACTATTGTATTTTAAGTTGGAAATGAAGAGAAATGAACTGTAGATGACTGCTATAAAATAAGTAAAGAGATTTACATGTATATGAACCAGACATTGCATCATTTAAAATGTCATGGTTGTTTTGTTGACAGTATACTGCTTTTTGATGACTTTGTTATATTGTCTTTATCATTTTACTATAATCAAAAAGAGAAATCATTCTCAGATTTTTTATTAATGGTTTTTTATTTCATTCTCGAAGCACTTATTAACTGATACAGAAATTTGTTGAGGCCTCATACTAAATTAACCTGTGGCTAGTTTAGGTCTGCAAGCATCTACATCACTACTGAAATTTGATGGAGACTCACTCCATGATACTACAATAGTCTGGCCCAGCCTCTTCATTGCACGGGTGTGCAATGAAGAGGTGGGCACTGACTAATACTATAATGGATGCATGTATCCATAATTTTTCTCATTTACAGATCCCTCTACCTCAATCTGTTACTGGTAGATACAATCACTCACTCACAGCAGTCACAATGTCTCCACACTGTGTGTGGCTAGTAATCATTGGAGGATGCGAAGAAAAGTATGACTTCAATTTGATGACAGGGGATTCATATATCACTGATATTAATAGACTAATAATGATAGCTGAGTTAGGTAAGATAATTATTACCATACACAGATTTGATTTGACCGATCAGATTGCTTTGGTGGAGGTTTCTAAATCACTTATATGTGACTACTGCAGGAAATTATTTACAAACCTTCAGAAACATGTTATAACAATTAAACCAATTGTTAAACCAGTTAAACATGTTTCTAAAACTGTCCATTATCAAGCTTGATTGATTTTACTTGTCTTGCTTGTTAGATACATGCATACATGTGCTGTATGATACAATGTATGTGTCAAATGTAGTCTTATTATTAGCAGCGTTTTCAAATGTACATGGTAGAAGTTGGTTACCCACCTCTGTATTGGTTTCAATGGATGAACTGCATCATCCGATAGAAACCCTGTACCTCAGTGAGTGTACTTATGCTTATTTCCATAGACCCATAGGTGCACACATGCATAACAAACAATATTACCATATACATGTAGCTGGGTTTTTTCAAGGATCAAGGAAAGCAAATTTTTCAAATTTTGTAGATTATCGAATATTTACAAGAGTAAGTTCTGTGCCAATCAATTTAATGCTGAATAGTGAAAATTTGTGAAAAGTAAAATATTATTTCCTGAACCTCATAAAAAAACTGCTATACAGTATCAGACAGTCAGAGAAATTAGCATGTTTGTAATGCCAGCCTTAATACGTGGGCAGAGTCTCAGAGCAACAAAAAGGAATCTTATCAAAACAAGAGGGCAAAAATCAATTATTAAATATCGACTAATAATAATTAATGATGTATAATCAATCAGTCGTTGCATGTTCATGCTAATTAGTTTGGGAGGGTAATATGTAATAGCATAGT